CACACGCTCTCACCACTTACCGCCGTTTACACGACATGTACTCGGCAACCTTCAAGCGGAAGCCCAGCGAGGGTGTCGGCCACGACCTGACTAACCACACAAGTCTCTCGTCCAGGTTTATCGCCTATTCGGGTTCCATCCGCAAGGAGATCCGGCCGGGGTGCCGCTCACGGCCCCAAACGATGTGTGCAGGGTTCCCAAGCCCACCATCCGGGTGCTACTTGGTACACCGGGCCACTGTGCCTAGTCTGTCCCAAGCCCACCTGTACCGGGTGCCACTTGGTAGACGACTAACACTACCTACAAACACCAGAAACTAGTTGCAACTCCTGGACAGAGATCAAGTTGATTAATAAGTCGAGAGAGCTTGGAGCGCCCAGAGCCCAATGTGTGGTAGTAACTGATCATGGATCACAAACACAGAACTCGGTTCCTGAGGACGGCTGCAATGAGACAACCCACCATGTACTCCTACACGGCCTCTCACCGCTACCTTTACCAAATCGTGTTCACACACTTAGTTCACACATAGTAGGACATGTTTACACACCTCCAATTCATCCCCGATGAATCAGACCTGACTTAACTCTAAGCAGTAGCAGGCATGACAAACAAACATGAATGAGTAGGCACATTAGGGCTCAAACAACTCCTACTCATGCTAGTGGGTTTCATCTATTTACTGTGGCAATGACAGGTCATGCAGAGGATAAGGGGTTCAGCTACCGCAGCAAGTAACAAATATGTCGTTGTTGTCCTAATGCAGTAAAAGAGAGCAGGAGCGAGAGAGTGGGATTTTATCAGAATGAACAAGGGGGGTTTTGCTTGCCTAGCACTTCTGAAGATAATACAGCTCTTCATCGGTGTCATCGATCTCATCGTCGGAACCACGTCTACTGAGAGGGAACAATTACCGGCAACAGAGAGGGAACACAATCAGTGCAATGCACATTATGATGCATGATCATGACATGGCAACATGCTGGTGTTTTGAGCTAATGCAGCTAGCAACAAAGTTAAATGAAGTTGGTTTGAACCCTAAGTTCAAAACCAAACTCCATATATGAAATTCAAATGTCATTTAATTGAATTGTCCTAAACAGTAGTCATAAGTTGTTCTAACATGCATGAAAATGATACAGATGGATAGATTGGATTTTTCTGATAATTTTTCATATATAAATTATTTCATTTTGGAGTTACGGTTGAATTTATATGATTTTTAGAAGTTTAGGGCATTTTCTGGAATTCCCTGGATATTTAGAATTAAACTAATTACAGAAAATGCATTACCGCGTCAGCACTACGTCAGCATACGTAAGCGAGTCAATGTGTGCAGTCCAGGTCAAACTAACCAGTGGGACCCGTAGGTCAGTGACACAGCGCTAGCTAGAGTCACAGACAGGTGGGGTCGGGTCAACGGCCACATCAGCATAGTCAAAACTGACATGTGGGCCCACTAGAATTAGATTAAACTTAATCTAATTTAGGTAGCGGTTAGTTAGGCGGTGGGGCCCGGCTGTCTGTTTCACTGGAGGTTAATTAGTGGCGCGATTAGCTGCTAACGACGGCCACGTCGGCAGTCGCCGGAGCCTTGCCGGCGGCGACTAGAACGACGGCGGCTCGGCTTGGATTTGAGCTACAGGTGGTGGTTTGGCGAGCTGAGGGCACCGGGGAGTAGCTCTTGCTCGTCCGCATCCAGAGGACCGGACGGGAAGCCGCGGGGTGGCCGGGAGCAGCGCCGACGGCGAGCAAGGCGGCGGCCGGAGCACGGTGGGTTGCGGGTTTGGGGTTGCGGTGCACGAGAGGGGGATAGGTGGGTGGCTACGGTCTCGTGGGGGTGCGCTGAGCACGCTGATGAGCTCAGATGCGGGTGGCAGCAGCTGTGGTCGCGGCGGCGCCATGGACGGCTGCAACGAGCTCTCGGGCGCGGTAGCGCTAGCGCTAGAGGGCGAGTTAGACTGCGGGGAGAGAGGGGAAAGGCGCAGGTGCTCACGGCGGTTCTTCTGGTGCAGCTGGGTGGCTCGGGGAAGCGCTGGCGACGACGAACGGCGATGGCGATCTCGGCGACCCGAGGAGGAAGAAGATGGTGCTGACGGCGAGGCGGGGCGCCTGGCGACGTGTAGCTGGATGGGGACGAAGGAGAGGTCGTGGCGGAGCTCTGGGGCACGTCCATGGGGCTAGGGCTGGCCGGTGGCCGTGGTGTCAGTGAACGGCGGCGACGGGCTCCGCTCGGTGGGAGGGAGAGGGAGCCAGGGGAGGGGGAGAAGGCACGGGAGGGAGTGAAGGACGGGTCTAGGTGGTCGGGGCGGCACCGAAGAGAAGGCCCGAGGCGTCGTGGTGGCCTCAGTGACGCAGGCAAGCAGGGAGGTGCGTGGCGCCGCGGCGCGCGTGCGCTGTCTCCCTCCTCTGTCTACTGGCAGAGGTAGGTGATGACTGGCACGGGCCAGGTGGGCCGGCCCAGCCAGGTAAGTGCCCTAGGTAGGTTCTCTCTCTCCCTGGTTTTTCTATTTATTGATGTTTTCTATTTCCTGCAATTGGTTTTGATTTGATTTAAAATATCAAATCATTTTTTAAAACTTTCTGTAAATTGTATGTGAGCTCAGGAACTAGTCCAAGGTCACAGGCAACTTACAAAAATATTTGAACTTTATTTCTTATATAATAGAAATAAATTCAACTCAAATATGTCATTGGTTTAAGTCAAAGGCCCAAAATAAATATTTCTGTGATTCCAAAAATATTGGTTTGAATTTTACCTCTTACCAATATTTTCACAGAGTAACAGGAACATTTCTTTGGGCTCATTTGATGAGATATAAATGTTGGTTATTTTTAGAGGTCTTCTGAGGCTTTTGAAAATTCCTCAATTCAAATTTCATTTGAATTAAAACATGATGCTCACATGAAGGTCTAGCCTAGTGCATAACAGGACCAGGGATGTGACAGCAATTTAGTGGGTTTTCGGTTTTACCCTAGGTGATTAGGGTTTGCCTACTCCGCCAACACCATTGTCGGCATTGAATTTTTTACTACATGGGCTTGACCTCTGTTCGAAGGATGACTGTCGCCATGGCTGCCAA